ACAAGCAGGGAGCTGGATGGGAAGTAGAGCAGCTGTACATGAACCGGTGCCCATATGGGATCCTGGCACATGCAAGGCAAGGATTTGGCCACTGAGCCATCACACTAGGTCTGAGTAACGTTAAAGTATAGAGCAAATGGTTCTTAGAATATTAAGTAGTTTCAGAATATGAGCACCCCAAAGCAATAAATTCCTCTATGCTTGGGCCATGCCTTTCTTAAGACATCTGAGTTCAGATAGCAGAGTTACAGAGAGAAGATGGGGTGGGGATCTTCCGTGCACTGCCTCACTCCTCAAAACGTAGCAGTGGCTGGAACTGGGCCGGTCCAAAGCCAGGAGCGTCTCCCTGTTCTCCCACATGAGTGCAGGGGCCCAAGGAGATGTGTCGTCCTCTGCTGCTTTCCCAGGTGCAATAGGGAGCTGGATCAGAAGTGGAGCAGCCAGGACTAGAACTGGCGCCCATGTAGGATGCCGGTACCACAGGCAGAGGCCTCACTTGCTGTGCCATGTGGAGTTCTGGCCCCTCTTTGTTTGTATATGACTCATGCTGTAAACATTTGTATGGGTTTTTCTGTGAAGATACATGACCTTGCTCCCTGGGTATGTGACTAGGAGTAGAAGTGCTAGTTGCAAATAGCTCGTCACTGTTTTACTGATGAATAAGCATTTTCCAAGGCAGCTGCACCGTTTGATTATTCCACCTCCAGTGTGTAGACCACAACCTCAGTCTGCATGTTGTCCATCATTATTATTATCGTTATTTTTAACTTCTTTAATGTTATCATTTTATTTGAAAGACAAAGAAAGGGAAACCCTCCACAGAAGTCTCCAATTCTGAGGGCAGCTCCACGTGGATCTCCCATGTGAGTTGGCCATCTTGCGCTGCCTTCTCAGGAGTGTTAGCAGAGAGCCTGATGAGATGATCAGAATTAGATGGGGCCCGTGCAGTGCCGTGCCATGCTGAACCTCCGTCTGTGGCACCAGCAGCCCAAATGGGAGCTTGCTCCTGTCCCAGCTGCTCCACTGCTGATCCGGCTCCTGGCCTGTGACCTAGGAAAGTACCAGAGCATGGCTCAGGACCTTGGGCCCCTGCACCTGCGTGCTCGATCTGAAAAGTACCTGGCACCCGGAGTCAGACTAGCTCAGTTCTAGCTGTTGCAGCCACTGGGGGACAAAACCAGTGGATGAAACATATTTTCTCTCTCTCTCTCTGATCTTTCTCTGTAACTCTGGCTTTCAAATTAAGAAAAAAAAAATTAAAAACCAAAAGTTGGGGCTAGGACTCAGACCAGGTCCTGTAATATGAATCAATCGGTGTGGTGACTTTTGAGTCAAACCCCTGCCAGGTTTTTTCTTTTTTAGCGACTAAGGCATCGTTTTGTTTGCATTCCTCTGGTGACTTTGGAGGCTGAGCGTTTTTTGTGTGGTTAGTGTGTTTGTTGTGATTTTGTAAATTTTGCTGTCCTTTGAGAGACAGTTGTGGCCAGTCTTCAGTCCTCCATGGTGCCTGTGGTGCAGTGGCTTCATGCAATAGCAGTTAGCCCAGCCCCGGGTGCAGTGTGTGGGTGCTGGTCTGTAGCCCAGGAGCACCCATCGCAGGGACTCGAGCTTCAGAGCGTTGTGTGTCGCAGGACTCTTTCCCCCAGCGCTGTCCTGAGCGGTGTCTCGGGCCTGTGCCCGGCGTGGCTTGCCTTCCCAGGACCAGGCCTGCCCTCGGCTCAGGTGGATTGCTCCAGTGCCCCTTGCCTTCCTCCCACAGGCAGATGCTGTGACGGAGAAAAGGTGTTTGGTTTTTGTTTTTTTTTTTTTTTTTTTTTTTTTTAAGATTACTTTATTTTCAGGGCCCAGCCAATGGTTCAGTTGGCTAATTCTCCCCCTTTCAAGCCCCAGGATCCCATATGGGTACCAGTTTGTGTTCTAGTTGCTCCACTTCACAGCCAGTCCTCTCCTTATGACTTGGGAAAGCAGTAGAGAGTGGCCCAAAGCCTTCTTCAGCGTGGGAGACCCAGAAACAGCTCCTGGCTCCTGATCAACTCGGCTCCAGCCACTGTGGCAGTTTATGGAGTGAACCAGCAAATGAGAGATTTCTCTGTCTCTCCTTCTCTGAAAATTTTCCTTTCCAATTAAAAAAAAAAAGTCTTTAGAGCTGAACTGAACAGGAGCCAGGAGCTTCTTCTGGTCTCCCACACTGGCGCAGTGTTCCAAGCTTTGGGCCGTCCTCCACTGCTTTTCCAGGCTACAAGAAGAGCTGGTTGAAAAGCCTGTTTTAGGCAAGACATTACCTGGTGCCTGTATGGGATCCCAGTATTTGGAGTTGCAAAATGAGGCAGTTTTTTGCTCTGGCCCCAAAACTCTTCTTTTTTAAAAGCTATATTTTACTTATTTGAAAGGCAGAGTTACTAAGAATTGTTCCAGCCACTGGTTTACTCAGATGGCCACAGTGGCAGGGGCCCAAACACCTGGGCCATCTTCTGTCACTTTGACTAGGCCATTTACAGGGAGCTGGATCAGAAGTGGAGCAGCCAAAACACGATCTGGAACCCGGATGAGTGCCAGCATTGCAGGCAGCGGCTTAACCTGTCTTGGAAAACACTGGACATGAGAAAAGCTCTTTAAGGGGGCCTCTGTTCCTTTGCCCCCCAGCTTCCCATCTGCTTACTTCTCCAGGTGTCTGAATGATGTGTGGACAGGTGGCAGTGAGCTCTGGGATGCTGGCCTGATACTTGAAGCCAGCTTGTGCCTTTTTGGTGGGGATAAACTTGGCCCATCCATTTGGTTTCCAGAAGCTGGCACGGGGTGGCTTTGCAGGAGACCTGCTCCCTCTTGGGGCTGGGTGTTGGCATGCAGCCTCTTGCGCAGGCCATTGCAGCGCAGCCCCTGGGCTATGAGGGTAGAAGCATGGGTTCTGTGGGATGTTTGTGCATCCTGCCTCCGCTCCACCTGGTCTGTTTTTCCTTTCCACCCTCTAGGATTACTGTCACCTTCAACATTAACAACAGCATCCCACCCACCTTCGAAGGGGAGGAGGAGTCCACACAAGGACAGAAGGGTGAGGAGCAGGAGGTAAGCGTGTGCCCCCCGATTCCCCAGGGGCCTGCAGAAGCAGCAGGCTTTCCTGGTTTTAAGTATTTATTTGATCTTGAGGTATGACCTTTGGTTCCCAGGAACATGAGCAGGAAGCTGGATTACAAGTGGAGGAGCTGAGACCCAAGCTGGTGCCCTGATGTGGGATGATGGTATCCCACATGGCCATTTGACCCACTTGCCACAATAACCAGCCCTCATGCTGGAAGAAACAGAGCCCAGGACAGCCGTCCCTGACTTGCAGAGCAGCCTTGTTCCCTTTTTTCCCCAGGGGCTGGAAAGCCTGTCCGTTTGGACTCACCTTAGTAATTTGGCCCTTCCCACGATGAGAAGATGTTTGCTATTAGAAATGTTTCTGGGGAGGAATGTCCTTACGTGTCCCTGGCAGGACATCACCTGTACAGGATGGGCAGCAGAAACGCCAGCACCTGGCCAGGGGAGAGCTTGGCTTTGGTTCCTGGTCCTATTGGAGGAGGCTCGAGGTGGCAGCCTGGCAGCCAGCCACCTGAAGGTCAGAGCCTGTGACCATCTGACTAAGCAAACACTGCTGTGAGCCCATGAGCCTGCAAGAACACAGCTCCTATCCGAGCTGCTTCCATCTCAGCCTCCTGCACTGGTGTCGGACTCTGGACTTGGCTGTCCTGGGGTCGCCATCAAAGGGACAGTTGCTGCCGTGCTTCAGCCAGAGCCAGGTGTGCAGCCTTTGATCCTGGTTGGAGTCTGCCTGCACTCCTCCTCAAGCTGCTCGGACGTGCTCCGGGCCGTGGGGAGCTTCCTGAAGCAGCTGAGCTGGAAAGGGATCTTGGAGCTTTAGCCAGCTTTGCAGTGTATGGATGCAGAAATGGGCTCAGGAATTCAAGGGGCTGTGTGGCTCTCGATGCTCTGAAAGATTGAGGGCCGCTTGTTCTGGAACCTCGAGTATAAAAGCAGTCGAGTATTGTCCTAACGTTGGCCTGTGGAGGGGCAGGCACCTGACCCCTTTCAGGAGAGACACCCGCGCACTTGTTCTCATTTCCTCAGCCTGAACTGACGTCAACTCCGAATTTCGTGGTTGAAGTTACGAAGAATGACGGCAAGAAGGCCCTTGTGCTGGACTGTCACTACCCGGAGGACGAGGTGTGTAGAATGCGGTGCTGACCCCTGCACATCGGTGGGACAGGGGTGCTTCCAGGACCTCCCTGTGTAACACTCTCCAACTTAGCCCAGCAAACACAGGGCAGACAGGTGGGGTGTGGAAATGAAAGAACAGGTTTTTTAGTTCATTTTTATTCTTAGTTCAAGCTAATAGTTCTTTTTCTTTACCTGCGTCTGGCTTGTTCTTCTCAGGTTGGACAAGAGGAGGAAGCAGAGAGTGACATTTTCTCCATCCGGGAAGTTAGCTTTCAGACTACTGGCGAGTCTGAGTGGAAGGACACCAACTACACACTCAACACGGACTCCCTGGACTGGGTGAGTGACCGTGTGGAGGAGGGGCCTGCCTTGTTCAGAGAGGGGAGGCCACCTTGCAGACGCCGGTCAATGCTGTTCCCTGCAGGCCTTGTACGACCACCTGATGGACTTCCTGGCGGACCGGGGGGTGGACAACACATTTGCGGACGAGCTTGTGGAGCTGAGCACGGCGCTGGAGCACCAGGAGTACATCACTTTCCTGGAGGACCTCAAGAGTTTTGTCAAGAGTCAGTAGGGCAAGGAAACTGGGGTACCATGCCTCGGGACACCCAGTATTCTAACACCATGGAAAAATGCAACCCTAAATTATTATTTGTCACTCATTTCTTCTCTGTACAAATATATTACTTCTAGATTTTTGTATAACATATAATGATGGACAATAAATTGCTTTTCTCTCCTCCCAGGGAATTTGTGCTTTATATTTCTTCACTGTCAACCTAGACCACGAGACAACAAGAACCAGGGGTATTTGAAAATTTTTAATATAAAATAAATTATAAATTAATGGCAGGTATATACAAGGCCTCTGTCATGGGGAGGGTGTCATGTCAGCACAGCAGAGCGCTGGGAGCTGGCGCTAGAGGATCACAGCCCAGGTGTCACAGCCCTGCAGAGACAAAAGACAGGTTAGCGCCCTGCTCCTGTGGCCCAGAGCGGTCATCGGTCGATGTCCATGCCCCACGTGGTGCTGGCCCAGGTCAGTTACAGCTGGGGCCTTGCCTTTGAAGACCAGCAGCAGGAAGGCAATCATTAAGGTCAGACTGAATCCTGGAGATGGAATGAAGTTTTCAGCCTCAAGACACTGGTGACTAGACACACTGTTCAGACTTGGCTTGACAAGGAGGTGTGTCTGCACAAGACTGAAGTCAAGCCAGCACCGCAGGTAACTGGAGTGAAATTGTGGATGGGAGGTCAAACACTGGAACCAGCAGGTGTCTGAGATGGGCTGGAGCCATGCAGTTCACAGGCAGGGGTGACTGGGTGGCCACCGACTCCCCCATGATTGCCTGTGACATCAAGAAGCACCCATCATGAACCTGGCTCCTGGCCTGCTGACTGCCTGGCCCTGTCACTATTGCAGCATCCTGTCCCTGACCTTGGCTTTTCCCACTTAGATAATTTGCCTTTTCCCTGGAAGACAGGAACAGGGGGTTTTGCACATTCCATCCCAGTGGCCCCCCTGAGAGCACTGTCGCACCTTAAGTACCCAGAGTCACTGTCATCTTTACTGTTTTCTGTAACTCCCACCTGGCTGCTCCCTCAGTGCCTGGACTGAACCACCCACCAGCCCTGGAGTGCAGCACCTTTGTGGGAGCCTGTGGGCACTCTGTCTTCCCTCTGCTCATCTTCACTGTGGCCCTCTCCCTTCCACCACACCCCAATAATGGTCCAGCCCGGCCTGGAAGCAGCACTGTCATGCTCTTCCCCGAGACCCATTTGTTCATCCATACAAGTGTTCCATGAACTTTCGGAAGGTCCTGGTGCACAGGTTCCAAACCTTTTTGGGTACAAAGATAAAACTGTCTTTTAATTTCATTTTCCGAGAACTTTCTCATCATCCTCATACATGAACTATAATACTTTGACAAATAACAGTTCTGATACCAAGCAAGCGTAAGGCTTCCAAGGTGGCTCCCCTAACTACTTGCCTAGTCCTGTCCCTCACGCCTGATATGCCAGTTGTAACCAGAGGACCAATCCTTGGCCTTCTGGGGAGACCCCTGGAAGCAGGTGGACCTGCTGCGGACCTCTGCCTCTGTCCTGTATCCCTCTGCCCAGGTGTCAGGACTACGAGCTGAGCACATAGGCCAGTGCAGGTGGTGCACAGGCTCCCAGGCCAAGTGCCAACTGCTGGCACACTCCCAGTCTGCCTCTTACCCTGCCCCTTTCAAGCAGTGATGGGCAGTCCAGCCAAGGGGACTTGTGGCCTGCACTGTTCTATAGCTAGTAAACTCTAAGGAGAAGGAAAAAAACTGCACTGAACATGTACCCATTTCTAAAAACAGCACCTGGATTCCGGGGGAGACTTACCAGACAGCTCATGAGAAGGCTGGGCTTGTCCTCCATGCCCCCGGTGACAGAGAATTCTGGGGTGTGCGGACAGTGGGCGCTGTGCTCACTTATGCTGTCCTCTAAACAGGCACGGAGTGTCTGCTCCGTCAGCTCTGGAGACTGGAAATAAAAAGGTCACACAAGCTCATCTCGGCTACTTGATGGTCAGCAGGCTGGACGACCTGACTCTTGTGCCTGACCGGCACTGGCTCTGTGGGACGGCCTCCTCGCTTGTGGCTGGAGAGTGCTTGGGTTCACGACTGTGCTGGAAGGGCCCACACCCACGCTCCCCAGACTAGCCGGGGCTCCCCAGGCCTGCCCTAAGACGCTGTTACTCAGAGCCAAGCTCTCACAGAGCCAGGGGGACACATCTCAGCCTCCTCCACCCCTGCCAGCCCAGAACATCCCTGTTAAGAGCCGGCAGCACCTGCTGCCAGGTCTGCTTGTGCTTCCTGAACCAGCTACTGTGACTCCAGGATTTGATCCTATGTTACACAAATAAATGACACAGTGGAATGGAAATAAAGATTTGTCTTTATGCTAATACATAGAAAGTTCCAGAAGCAATCAAAAGGGAGTGTTGCTTCTATGCTTTATCTTAGCCAAAAGGCTAAGAAGAGACAGGGAGAGTTGCTTCTAAAAAACCAAAAATTGTTAGGGCAGGCATTTGGCCTATTGGTTAAGAGGCACCGCCCCCCCGCCCCATGTTGGAGCGCCGGGGTTGGATTCCTGGCTCTGCTCCGGTCCCAGCTGCCTGCTCCTTCACATTGTAAGAGGCAGAGGATGGTGGTGCAGGAGCTGGGACATTCTGTCATACACACGGGAAACCTGGATGTCCCAGGTCCAGCACTGGAGGAGTGACCAGCACATAGAAGTGCATGTTCTCTATCATATCTCCCTCCCTCTCTACCTGCACTTTCGTCTATCTAAATACATTTCTCTTTACAAATCAAAAAAATCTTTAAAAACTGAACTACATAAAAGATAGGAAGAAAAAATTCCTCTGGACTAAGCATCACCAGAGTTATGTACATACAAATGACAACTCCACTGTCCAGCCAGCAAAGACCAGCAAATAAACACAAAGGTTTGAAAGTTACCCCGACATGTTTCGTTTTGATAATTCCCCACTGTAACCATCTGCTCAACTGGCTGCAAGCATGTAGTCCCCATCATGTCAGGTAAGTCACTATTTTATGGTCACTAAAACTTAAATTCTAGCACTGAAGTATCTTCACACAGGACACTTCACGGGAAGGCCACATATGGGCATTTCCAGTCCTACACCAGGATGTCTCTTAAAAAGAGATAGCTCAGGCCTGGTGCGGTAACCTGGTGGCTAAGGTCCTCGCCTTGCAAGCATCAGAATCCCACATGGGTGCCAGTTCTAATCCCAGTGGCCCCGTTTCCCATCTAGCTTCCTGCCTGTGGCCTGGGAAAGCGGTCAAGGATGGCCCAAAGCCTTAGGACCTTGCACCCAGGTGGGAGACCCAAAGGAGGATCCTGGCTCCTAGCTTTGAACTGGCTCAGCTTTGGCCGTTGTGGCCACCTGGGAAGTGAATCATTGGGTAGAGGATCTTCCTGTCTCTCCTCCTCTCTGTGGATCTGACTTTCCAGTAAAAATAAATAAATCTTCTAAAAACAAAACAAAACAGAAACGGCTCTCCAGAGGAGGAGAGCTCGTGGAGATTGCTAATGATTGTCGATCTCCACGCCACAGATATTCTGCCCGGGCTGATGTTACGCTAACCACCACCACAATGCTAAAAACTCACTAAATACTGAAGTAGCAACAGATGTACATGGTGGGCTCCAGCCCACCTCTGCTCACGAGAAGCAGAGCCCTGGGAAATGTGAGGATGGGTCACACTTACGTGGGATGGGATGGACAGGCCACATGGACACGTGACCACACCGCCTGCTATTCTCAGGTTGTACCTAGAAGCAGAATTGGGAGTCCAGAGCTTTGGGGCCAGCAGACCTGGTTGCCCAAACCTTTCCACATATGGGGGTGACCCCACTCACCTTGGAGTGGGGGTGGGAACCAATAGTGTTGAAAAGGTTTGGGAGCTCTTACTTTGTACACACAGGACAGATGAGAGGGTTGGCTTCCCATTCAGCCAGCATGATGCTCAGACACTTTTCATCGAACTGCAGGCTATTCTCATACTCGCTGATAATGGACAGTTCTGCAAGGCAAATGCAGCCACTCTGCTTCACTGTGCGCGCTTTCCCTCCCCATCCTCCGCCCCGGGCTACCCTGCATTTAACAGGAATCTCCACCTTAAACAGCCTCTTCCATACAAGATTTAGGCAAAACCTCCCTCCGGGCACAGGCACTAGCGTCCTCTCAGGCTGGCTTCACCTCAATGCGCCTTGTGCCCTTCCTGTGAGCATGAGGGAAGCAGCAGTGCAACGGGCTTGCTTCTGTGTGAGAACACCAGCCCCTGTTCCAATGCTATGAAGTGAGAAGCTCTGAGCGCCAAACCCAGCACCCTGGGGACCCTCCTCACTAAGCAGATGGCCAAGGCTTCACGATGAAACCATTTACAACCTGGAAGTCAGCACTAGAGCAACCACAAACAGGTGGGAAGGGCTGCTTGCAGACAGGGCTTACCTTGGTCAACCAGCTCCTGCTGGATCTCCTCCAGCACGGCCAGGTCCACGGGCAACCCCAACTGCAAGAGGAGGTGGGCTCATTATAGGACTGACATCTTTACCGAGTCCCACAGTGTTTCGGACCTGGAGGCAAGCTGCCAGAGCCTGGATCAACCTCAGTCGGTCCAGTCCTCCTACTGAGCACTGACAGTGAGGCCATGTGGTCATGCTGCAACATTATCCGGAAGTGGTCAGACTACCCAGGGACAGAAATCAAGGCCCCCAGTCTGGGGTAGACATATGGCGGTAGCAGTGAGACAGACACATGTTCTTGGGAGGTTAAGAACCCCAGGGTAGTTCCTAATGACTGGCAAGGGACTGCAACCCAGCTGAGGAGTAACCGGAGGACTAGTTAGAGAGAGGGGAGGACTAGTTAGAGAGATGAAATAAATGCCGGGCACCAGGCTTCAGGATGGTTTCTCACATGGCCTTCAGAGTGCTGCCAGTTTAACCTTCTGCACTTGAGACATGTCGGAATGAAGCTCAAAGAGACAGCCAGCAGCCAAGAGCAACACCACGATGAGAATTCCAGAACTCACTTCAGCCCTGCTTCAGCTCAGGCTGAGCACAGAATCAGACAGTTCGAGGAGATCTTACAGACTCCCAGGCCACGTCTACTAAACCAAACTGTCCGAAGGCAGAGGCCAGGAACAAAACGTGTGCCTTGTCAGTTCCGTAGCTGATTATGCTACCATGCCAATGGGACAGGCACTAAGTGATCTAGGAGAGTCTCATATTACAGGTAGACGAGCTGTTAGGATCCCAGTTTGTTGGGCTTAGAGAGATACAAGGAGAACGCTGTGAGTACCCAGTGCTGTATAGCTCCCTCCGCCCCCCAACCCGAGAACACTGACAACAGACCTGAGCCAAGTGCTCGGGAGAGTCCTCCATGGACCGCAGAGCCCTCCACTCCTCCTCCATCACCTCCCGCGCCAGCAGGGCATTCGGGGCCGGCCCAGGCACGCAGCCGCCAGCCTGGCGGAACCTGCTCAGAAGCCTGTCCCGGCTGTTTCGCATTCTCTCCAGGCAGCCCTTGGAAGAAGCAACAACTTATTTAAGAACACACGGTTTCATTGGTAAAACACGGAAGGAGACGTACAAAGTTCAACGACAAGCCTAATCACACAGACCCGGGGTTTGTCACAGCGCCACAGAGCCTGTTTTATCTGCAGTACCAGCTCCCCGGATGCCTCACTACTCTAGCTACCACTGTGGTTAAGGCCTTCCTGTGCAACAGGGCTTATCAACCCAAGGGGGTTCCGTCCTGCACGCTTGCAGACTTTTGTGGTGGTCACAACTCCAGCCCTAGGACTGACTGACTGGTGACCGACCCCTCAGAACGTCTATAGCCAAGTGCTATGCAGACTATCCGCTATACTAGACTCACCGTGTTACTTACAGATTAACCTGACAGGCAGCGCTAGAGAAACCTCAAGGGTTCACTTCCCCAAGCGGGATCCAGACAGGATGGGGAGGAGCAGGAGCTGGGTACAGCAAACCCAGACGGGATCGAAACCCAGACACTGAGATACTGGATGTCCAATCGCCCCAGTCCGTTCCTCTAGGAATTCCTCGAGATGGGCAACGTGACTTACTAGGAACCGGGCTGAGTTCAGAAGAAGCCAGAACCCAGGCGGGGCGGAATCCTGCCAACACCCGGCCCATGCAGCCCCTCTAAGCCGCAGCTGCCTCCTCTCCCAGAACAGAAATACAACAGAAACACTTTCTCCCATCTAAGTCAGGCACGTGTCTCGGGGGGAGGTGCGGCGGTATAACGGAGAGCCCAGAGGGGTGCGGTCATGACGACCCATTACAAACAAGCCCGAATCCAAAAACACGATTTCCCGGCCCTGGAAGGGCAACAGGAGTTCATCCCAAACCCAAGCAAAAACTCCAGAAGGGGGAAAGGAGGTCGGGGGCCAGAGAGAGGTTCCCGGACCTGCTTCGCGGAGCGGGGAGCGGGGCGCAGCCGCACACACACACGCACACACACACACACACACACACACGCCCTCGGGCCGGACCGGGCGCGGCCCACTCTCACCTTCCTGAAAGCCTCCTTCCATGGCGGAGAGCCCACCAGTTTGTAGAGCGAGCGGCGCGGAGAAGCCGGGGGCCCGGCCATCTCCAACTCGCGGGAGTCGCCGCCGCACGGAACTCTGGGACTTGAAGTTTCTGGGTGCCCATGGAGCCTACAGCGCAGGGAGTTCTGGGAATTGTCCTCGCTCGTGAGGACTTGATTTAGGCAACCGAAGCATGGAGTGGGGCTTAAAGTGGACTGAAAGAGGGAACGTTCTGAATGCTTGGGTGGGCTGACTCAAATGGGAGTGTCCAGGGAACGATGAGATGCGAAACTCTTCTCGCGTTTTCCACCCTCCCCCGGCCCTAAGACGCCCAGCTGCCAGGACTTTAAGCAGGCTCTATCCGGTTGCCCTCCTCATCCCGCCCCCTTTGGCGTCAGGATAAATGCTGAGTTGGCCATTGGCTCACCCTCTGGCTATACCCCTGCCTGGTTGGCTGTTATCCTTCTTGCTCCGCCCCCCCGAGGGAACCTCGTGCTTCCGGCATTCCTGCTTGATGATTGGACGCAGCGGGTGAACAGCTGGCCACGGATTGGCTGCGTCCAGCGGCGGGCCGAGCAACCTCGCGTGAGGCGAGCAGTTAGGCCAAGATGGCGGCTGCCGAAGGACCCGGCGGCGACGGGGAGGCTTGGCAGACCTGGCTTCCTAACCACGCCGTGTTTTCTCGGCTCCGGGAAGGACTGAAACACCAGAGCCCTCCAGCCGAAACGGAGAAGCCGACGCCTTCGTCTCTGCCCGCGTCGCCGCCGCCGCCGCAGCCGGTGCTGACGAGAAACCTGGTGTTCGGCCTGAGCGGCGAGCTGTTCCTGTGGGACGGGGAGGACAGCTCGTTCCTGGTCGTCCGTCTGCGGGTCCTCGGCGGCGGCGGCGGCCAGGAGACCTCGCTCTCCCAGTACCAGGTGCGGTGAGGCTGCTGCGGGGGTCTCGGCGAGGGCTTCCGGACGCGTCCTCGCTTTGGTCTGGGGGTGCGGGTCCACCAGGCTTGCGGGGGGACCCCGCGCTTGGAGCGGGGTGCAGGAGGGCGGGAAGGACCGCTGGGGTAGTAACTGCACGAATGGGGGTTCGCCACGGGGCAAGACCCGGAGACACGAGCGTGTCCGCCTCGCCTTGTAGAAAATTCGGCCCGCCCGGTAGTTGGGCAGGTGTTTGAGTAAAAGAAAGTGGACGCGGGCCGAAAGTGCTGCGAGTGCGTGGATGGGAAGCTGGGCGGCAGGAGCGCGGGGCGTGCTGCGGGGCGCTTCGTGCCGAGGACGGGGGACTGGGTTTCCCGAGGGGGCCGGCAGCCCCTGCTTGCAGCTGGGGAAAGAGGTCAAGGCTGAACGCCCGGGGTTGAGCGCGCCACGTTCTAGAAAGCGATGCAGCATTTGACTGAGAAGTTTGTCACTCGGGGCTGTGTTTTCTAGACTAAGCCCCAAGGCCAGGGCAGTGTTGCTTCTTTTTAGAGATGTTTATTTTAGGTGGAAACAGTTACAGAGAGATCTTCCATCTTTTGGTTCGATGTCTGAATGGCTGCAGTGGTCAGAGCTGGGTCCAGTCCAAACACAGGAGCTTCTCCTGGGTCTCAAGCAAGTGCAGGGTCCCAAGGCTTTGGGTTATTATCCTCTGCTTTTCCCAGGCCACAGGCAAGGAGCTGGATGGGAAGTGGAGCAGCCAGGACTTGAAGCCGCGTCCATGTGGGTGGGATCCCGGCACCGGGAGTTGGATTAGCCTGCCTCCAACGCCCCATTGGGTTTGTAAGTCCAGAAAGAGTGCCTGAACGTACCACCTCTCAGTATTACGGTGCCGGATGTCGGAATAACCCTCAGTGCTGATGAAGAGCCATGAGTTACAGCCTTGAATGTTGGGAAGGCACAAGCAGTGATTAAGGAAAGAAACCTAGAAAAAGTGATTATTGGCAAGTGCAGCTAAGGTGACTGAACTGTGTGTGTAGCAGAAGCAGAGTGGCCTGTGTGCGGGCTAGCATCCCGTGAGAGAGGGTCGGGTGAGGGGGTGAGCCTGAGGAAGAGGCAGAAACAAGCCCGGAGGGATTTGTCAAGATTGTTCTGAGAGGAAACAGTCTGGTTGGAATTAGTGCTGGATGAATGAAAAGCAAAGCAGGTGTGTAGACGTTGTGGGGAGAAGTGGAAGTCTTGAGTAGTCTTGTCTGAAAGCGTTTTGGTTTAGGGAGTTCCTGCGAGCAGCAGTCTCGTGGATTGGGGAGAAAGGAGGGGGCCTGAGGGCTCTGCAGAAGTAGAAAGTGGAAGTGAGCTGTTGTGAGGGCCCTGGCCACTGTTGTATCTGCAGTCTGCAGGTGTCGAGCAGCCTTCAGCCTGCGATAGACACTCTTGAAGCTCTTTATCTTTTACTGTCTGTAATCTAATATTGACTGCTAAGAGTTCTGAACTCTTGTTTTTGCACCAGGCATCTGTGGCAATCTCAGTGTAGCAGGTACTGTGCTCAGGGCGGCGAGCAAAAGCTCTGAATCAAGCAAGTCCGCGTGTGGGATGAGCAAGTGACGCGGACAGTTAGAATGCAGGATGCCAAGATCTAGGAGGGCCTGTCCAGGTTGTGCTCTGCAAGGATAGGGGAGACGCACTTATTCTGGAATGGATCCGGGATATTTTCTTGCAGAGAAAGTGTGTAGAAGCTGGATCTCCAAGGATGTGTAGCTTTTTTTTTTTCTTTTTTAAGATGTATTTATTTTTATTGGAAAGTCAGATCTACAGAAGGAAGAGAGACAGAGAGGAAGATCTTCCATCCGATGATTCACTCCCCAAGTGAGCGCAACGGCCAGTGCTGTGCTGATACGAAGCCAGGAGCCAGAAGCTTCTGGGTCTCCTGCATGGGTGCAGGCCACAAGCAGGGAGCTGGATGGGAAGTGGGGCCGCAGCTTGTATGATGCCAGGTGTGTGCCAGGGGAGGACTTTAACCCTTAGGCTGCTCCAGGCCCAGATGTGTAACTTAAAAAAGAAAAATGTGGTGTTGCAGGAAATGGAACAGTCAGGCAAAGCAGGATGGATGATTTCCCGGAAGTACAAGCTAACCTGACTGATGTTAGAGGTGAGGCAGTGCTAGGCTGCTGCTTTGTCCTCACGAGGGAAATCGTGTGCGCCAGCGCACTTCGTCCTGTCCCAGCCTGCGTGCTGGAAAGACTTCACCCGTCAGGGCCCAAGTGTTAGTGCTTAACTAGGGTGCTCGTTAGCCCGCAATTGCAGAGAGCTGAAGCATTACCTCTTGTAATGATGCTTACCAGTTTGCTTTAATTTTCAGAGATTGCTTTGCATAAATCCACCCCTGTTTGAAATCTATCAAGTCTTGCTAAGTCCGACACAGCATCATGTAGCACTTGTAGGAATCAAAGGACTTATGGTATTAGAACTGCCTAAAAGATGGGGAAAGAATTCAGAATTTGAAGGTGGGAAATCAACAGTGAATTGTAGGTAAGTTGTGTTTCTGCTTAGTGTTTATCTGTTTAATTTGTATTACAGAAAATCGCTCAAGACCAATAGTTCTCAAAGTGTGCTTAGTATGCTAATACTGGAATCCTAGAGCTGACCATAGGAACTATGGGCTTGTGGTAGTAATTCATATGCTACGGGAGGGATTGTGTTTTATCCTGTCTAAATTACTGTATTGCTGCCTCATAGAAAGTTAGGCAGTTGGGCTCTGTGTGATAGCCCAGTGGCTAACGTCTTCGCCTTGTACACACCAGGATCCCATTTGGGTGCCAGTTTATGTCCCAGCTGCTCCACTTCCTATCCGGCTCCCTGCTTGTGGCTTGGAAAGGCAGTAAAGGACGTCCCAAAGCCTCGGGACCCTGCCCGGTGTGGGAAACCTGGAAGAAGCTCCTGCTTCGGATCGGCTCAGCTCCATCTGTTGCAGCCATTTGGGGAGTGAACCAGCAGATGGGAGAGCTTTCTGTGTTTTACTCCTTTTCTCTGTAAATCTTCCTTTCTCTGTAAATTAGCCACTAGGCTACCACACCAGGCCCAATTTTATGTGAATTTTTTAAAAGCTATTTTTGCTTATTTAAGAAGCAGAGAGAGATCTCTTATGTATTGGTATGCTCCCCAAATATCCAGGACAGCTGGGGCTACACCTGCTGAGCCCAGGAGCCTGAGAATTCTCTCTGGGTCTCCTGTAGGTGGCAGAGACCCAGCTAATTAACTACCTTCCTGAAACAAGCAGTTTGGGAGCTGGGGTTGGGAGTAGAGCCAGGACTCCATCGAGGGCACCCCAGTGTGAGATGAGACCATCTCCATCACTGTCTGGGCCGTTAGGCCAAGTGCCTACTCCTGGTTTGTTGTTGTTGTTTTATTGGAAAGTCAAATTTAGAGAAGAGAAAAATCTTCCATACGCCAGTTCACTGTCCAAATGACCACAGTGGCCAAAGCTAAGCCAGTCTGAAGCCAAGAGCCAGGAGCTTCTTCTGGGTCTCCCTCACAGGTGCAGGGTCCCAAGGCTTTGGGCCGTCCTCTGTTCTCTCAGGCCACAAGCAGGGAGCTGGATGGGAATTGGAGTAACTGGAATATGACCTGGCTCCCAAGTGGGATCCTGGTGCATGCAAGGCTAGGCACTAGGCTACTGCACCGGACACCCTGTTTTTGTATGATTTCCTTTTCAACAAATCCAGAGAAGTGCAACTCTGAAAGATCTACCAAAAAGAATACAGAATAGTATCCTGTCTTTAGCCTCACTGTAAACTGAGGTCTCAGACAGTTTTTTTTCTATGTTTATTTCCTCATTTTCAAAATAAAAGTGATAGTCCTTGTAGTTTTTTTTTTTAAGGCTGGTAAAAGGATCAAGTGCTGTGCCATATAAAGGCCCTCCGTAAGTACTGTATTAAATGTGCCTTAAGGTAAACACTGTATTTATCATTGCTCTTTGATAATGATTGAGTAGATTCTTTGAATGCTTAGCAAGATTTAAGAGAATGAAATTTTAAGAAAAGCAGAGTGTTTAGTCTTCCGTTTAGAATATTTTTCATCCAGTTTCTACAAATGTTTTTAGAAAACTGTTCTCTTTGTTTCAGTACCACACCTGTGGCGGAGAGGTTTTTCAGCAGCTCTCCCTCCCTGAGCCTGAAGCATGCTGCCTGGTACCCCAGTGAGATGCTGGAGCCCCACATGGTGCTGCTGACGTCAGACAACGTCATCAGGTAAGGGCCTTGATCTCCCTCGCAGCCGGTGAACACTCAGGCTGCCCCAGGTGGCACTGAGCTCGCACTGCCTTCATGTGGTAGCTGTTAATACGCATCG